TTTTTTTCACATAAAAAAACATGTCTTTGATTTTCTGTTGCTTTATTGCATCGTACACATGTACTATCCTTATATATTGATGGGAATCTAGTTGTCATTTTTTCAATTGTTGGTAATTCATTATTTAATATTTTGATATTAAACGCTCGATTTCTGTTGTCTTCATTATTAGTAACTTGTTTTCCTATGTGTGATCTTGTTGCTATTGTCCATGTCAAGTTCTAACAAATTTGTTCATTTTTTTTATCTGTTAATTTCGATGTGTTTCTGTTAAGTAGTCTCCATTCAACTGAATGTTTTGTTTTACATACTTTTTTGATAAAGTCTTGAGCCGGTTCTTCAATAGGTATCGAGTTCCATTGCATTATAGTATTTACTGTTGATAGTAAGTGTAAGTTGGGATTGCATGGTGGACCAATGCAACCTTCTTTCGCTAGTTTATCTGCTATTTCGTTAAATTCCTCACCTACGTGTACTTTGATTTTATTAAGTTTGAGTTCTATTTTTTGCATTATTATTAATTCATGGATTGCTTTTAACAGTATCCAATTTTTTAATTTCCTGTATGCTTTATCTCCAACTTTCTTTTCTGATTTAATGGTATCTATTGCTACTTGGCTATCTGTATACAATCTTAATTCTGAATTCTTTGGTGTTGCGTAGATTGCTGTTAATATTACCATAATTTCTACTCTTGTTGGTGATGCCGCTCTCTCTACCTTTCCTTTGAAAGTGAATTTTTTGTTCTCTTCTCCAAAAGCTATCTATCCACAACCCATTCTGATATTATTCTTGTTATTATGGTTGTTTGTTTTTTCCATTGACCCATCTGTATAAATGCTTATTGTTTTATATTCACTTAATTCACAGCGGATCTTATCAAGATTTTCTTTTACTGTGTTATTCACCCAAAAGTTTTCGAATTTTCCAATTATTGATGAACGTTCATTTGTATACATGTCTACAAAGATGCTTTGAGTTGTTGACGTGTTTATTCTATTTTTTATTTGTTTATTTTTTTCCATTTCTGTGATGCCCTCGTTAATAGCTCCTATTTCTGAACGTAATCGTAGTTTATTTTTTTTATCATCAGATGTTCTGTTGGATACCTTACTTTTAATGACATTAATACTAATTGAATCTGTTGTTTTTGTTTTAATTAGGCATATTTCTTTGTTTACCATTTTTTCAGTTAGCTTTTTATCACCTTTATCACAGCCAGAGCATTTTTCTAAGATTGAGTTTTCTGTTCTATCATTGTTTATCGCTCTTGTGTAATGCATCATGATGAATTCGTCTTTATCTATTATTTTCCGTTTTTTCCTATTAATATACTTTTAGTAGATTCGTCTCTTATAACGTCCCATTTAACGTCTCGACTTTATTTATCTACATTCCATTTACATTTATTGAATCTGTTATTTATACGTTTTACAATTTCATTATCAATAATTCGTCTATCTGATGAGTTTAATATCATTTTGGATTTTATTATGCTGAACCACTTTGGCTTTGGGTCTCTACGTTCATTTCCTACTATTTCTTGCCATCGGAGAAGTCGTTGGCCATCATATGATGTTAATTGTTCTAAATATAGGATTTGACGTGAGTATAAGCTTTTTCTGTATATGTGGTAGTTGTTTCCATTATTAAGAATTTCCTCTATTGTGACATCGCCCCCTTTTGTAATCATGCTTTCATTGATAGTATTCGATAACTTGTATGTGATACCGTTTGCCTTGCAAATTTTTGAGGATATCATTTATTAACAAGTGACCTCCTTTCATTTTTACATGTTCTCCGTATTCTGTCACCACGTAGCCAGACCAATATATGTATTGTAGGTTTTGTAGTCTGATTCTTGTAGATATCCCAAGAACCTTTTTATTATTGATTCTTCCCAATAGATTACTGCTATGCATTTGAAGTTGCCTATCCCATAGATTACACATCCCGTATGTTTCTTTTGCAAACATAAGTGCATTGGGTATTGTACTTGGTAGTAAGGTTTTATTTTTAATTACTGTTATAAAGCGTGTTGTCATGTTTTTGCACTCAGTTTCTGTTAATACTATATTATTTAGATTATATTCTAGCATCGGGATTATAACAGCGTTGAAAATATATATTGCTTGTTTATCTGTAATAGGTTTTCCTCTCATGACAAATACCATAAAGTCTGAGATCTTTTTCATGCATTCTTTTTGAAATTTTTTTGATCCATTTTCTGTTATATAAACTCCCAGTGATCTCATCAGAAAATCACTTTCTACAGGATTTAAAACATCGTTATCCATTTTAACACCTTTTTCCCTATTTTCCTTCCCAGCATTAATTGCAATTAAGTATAATTTACTTTTATTTATTGTGATATCGTTCATGACGAAAAAATCATTTGCAATTTGAAGTATTTTTTTCCATTTTTTCTCGTGAGGGTGCAAACCAATTTGTGTCGTCTACATATGCTACCACTGTTACCTTCATTTGTATTGATTTAGTCATTCCATATCTTAGGTCATCGATCCATTTTTCTTTCATTGTATATCCCAGACCTGATTCTGCAATTCTGTATATTAGTGGGTCATAGAAAATCCTCTATAAGATTGGTGAAATTATATCTCCCTGATCGATGCCATCTTCTACCTTGTACGCCTCTGTATTTCCGTAAGTAGTTAATACGATGTTTTCTCTGTTATATAACAATTTCTCTATTATGTTAATAAATCCTTCCGGCAGTTTAATTCTTCGTAAAGCTTTTGATAAGCAATCAATATTAACTGAATCAAATGCCTTGCTCATGTCTTGGAACATTAACTACAATTCTTTATTTTTGACCCTCGCGTCTTCCATAATATTGTTTATAATGTGAATTGGATTTTGTATATTGTCACCTGGTAAGCCCGCATAGTTGTGTCCTAATAAAATTTTATTGTTACTGAAGATATCTACCAGTCTATTATTTAAAATTTTTGTGAATATTTTTCTTCCTGCTTCTAATAAGATTATTGGTCTTGTTATATTTAAATTGTTTCCCCAATCGGCCATTTTTGGAATTGGGTATATATACCCCATTTCCATTCTTCCGAAATGTCATTTAAATCGAAAGCCATATTAATGATGTCTCTTAATGTTTCTATGCTCTCGTTAGGGAGATATTTAAACCATTCATATTGTAGACCTAATTGTCCAGCTACTTTTTTGTTAGGTAAAAGGTGAATGGTTTCTTCCAGTTCATCTATACTTACTTCTATTAGCAAATTTTTATAGTTATTAGAATCAATTATTGATATTGGTTTATACCATTGCTCACATTCTTTCATTATTGTTTCGTTGGTGTTCCTCTTCCTTGTCCAGTTTTGAAAGTATTTTTGTACTGCTGTCTTTATTTCTGTTCCGTCTTAATGATTTTTGTTGTGTTATTGCTCTCTGATTCAACAATCAAGTGATCTATAATAATGGATTTTCTTGGCTTGTCTAGTACACTATTAATCATTTTTTTAGGACTTTCTTTAAGATTCTCCCATATTTCTTCTATGGCTTTTTGAATTTTTTTGAAGTTTTCTTTCTTTTTCTCTGCTCTTGCGATTGTTTGAAAACGTATACTTTGTTCTTTGAATTTGTATAGTAATTCCTCATATTTCCTATTATTTATTAGAATTTTTTCAATTTCAATATTAAGTACTGATGGTTTTAAAAAAACTCTTTCCGACGATAATTTTGTCAGAATTTTCAAGAAAGAGAAAAATATAAAAAATACTACAAACAAATAATACAAACAACAACAAAACATGAACGAGGAAAAGCAGGGTGAACATATACGTCCCAGATGAACTACAGCAAACTATGGAACTAAAAAGAAACATGAAACAATAAGCATCAACAAGAAAGGTGAAGAAGCAGTTCGCAATACTTTAAGTATAGGAGGAATTATCCAGACAGGTTATAACCTTTTAAGCTCTGAAGCAGGAACTTTGAACAGTAACATGGAAACAACAGCAACAAACAACAATACTATTGAACAGAGTCAAGAAATAGATG